ATTTCATTAAGTGAGGAAGGACCGAAACGTCGTCTCGCTTTCATTTAATATTTGTGAAGTGAGTTATGGCTGAAGATTATGTTATATTACGTCAGCGTTACTCCAGTTTCTCCTTGATGATAATGCAGCATCAGCTCCGAGATAAATAGCCAAATGCTGTGAAGGAACACTTGGATGAATATATATATATTGAAAGACGACACACATCTGCTCGCAATATCTTGCGCGGTGCTCAGCATCATGGGATAGCCTCCACCACCACCACTACACACCCGCACCACAACCACCACTATACTCCACCACCACCACACTCCAGCACCACTACCACCACTATACTCCACCACCACACACCAGCACCACACCCAAGTACTAATCTATTTACCCCAAATTTATAACCAATTTTAACATGCACCATTTTTCTATAACTAATTTTCTGGACTCACAGTCACCAGTAACGAGCAAACTGCTCGCTCCACTCTTTTGTACGTATATAATACACCTTAAAGGAATTGAAAAAAATAATAATAATTTGTTTTCAAAGTACAGTATATATATATATATATATATATATATATATATATATATATATATATATATATATATATATATATATATATATATATATATATATATATATATATATATATATATATATATATTAACCAAGAATTATGCCAAGTGAACCAGTGTTAAAGGGACAGGCAGAAGACGTTTTATATGTGTACTCAGACCATGTGTATATATGTATATATGTACCATGGCTTCCTGTAATGGTGAGGTGCATTTGTGTTCTCCCTTGTGAACAGCAGTCTGTTCATAAGGCATAGTGAACAGACTTGTGGCATAGTGTTCCTTGTCTGTGTGTAGCTTGTTCTTGTTTGACTGTTTATTGTTTTACTGTTTATTTTTATTACTGTTGTGTACTCTGATCCTGTCTTCCGTTTGTGTACTCTGATCCTGTCTTCCGTCTGTCTACTATGCTCCTGTTTTCCATCTGTGTTCTATGCTCCTGTCTTCCGTCTGTGTACTATGCATTTCGGAATAGAATAATATACTGTACTATTCCGCAGTGGAGAGGGGAGGGGGCTGCTGCATGGGTAACAGCTTCTCCTCCATATCAACCTACCCTGGCTTTGCGCCCTGGTGAGGCCACTCCAGACCGACAATCAGCCTCAGGAGACTATGGAGTTGTGATCCACTCTGGTTGTCGGTCTGGAGTTGCCTCTCCAGGGCGCAAAGTCAGGGTAGGTTGCTACGAAGGAGAAGCTGTTACCCAAGCAGCAGGTCCAACCTCTCCACGGCGCCGAAAGTCTCCAATGGAAAGGCAAACGCCAATACGATTGGTTCCAGCGCCGCCGCAGGAACTGTGAGCTCCGGAGTTGACCTCGAAGTTGGTGAAAGAAGGCACAGGGACTCCAAACCCGGAGATCACCGTGGTTGGGGCCGGAGAAGAACCACCCCAGCAAGGGCAGGAACGACCCCAGCTTCCTGCAGCAGAGCCCGGGGCCGCACGAGCCCCAGGAGGTGGACGGCCCGGTCCCGCACCTACGGGTTCCTGACAGAGATCGTCACAGCCTTCTTTCACCCGAGGCCGGCTTCCTTCATGACCCAACAGAAAGAAGAGTGAAAACTATTTAATACAACAATTATTATTACAATATTATAATATTATAAATGTGTTACACAATGTAACACATTTTTGCACCGGGGTAGTAACTGCTATTTGCTAATTGCTATTTTACCTCTCAGACTTTAATTTGTGACCAGGACAAACAATCCTATTTTGAAATTTGTCTGTTTTCAACGAGAAAACGGAGGAATTTTCGTTTCAGTGTTCATACAATGTCAGATAAATCCTACGATTCAAAATTAGCACGTATTTATACTAGAGTTACACAAAAATTACCATAAAAGATTTAGATGTGAGACGTTTTCGAAATTTCCGATTATACGATAAATCACTTTGACGATTCAGCCCCCAAATGTAGTCTCTCATCATGCTATCATCGTTCTTGGTAGCGATGTTTAAAGCCCAATATATCTTCTTATCTAGAGGTTATCTTGAGATAATTTCGGGGCTTAGCGTCCCCGCGGCCCGGTCGTCGACCAGGCCTCCTGGTTGCTGGACTGGTCAACCAGGCTGTTGGACGCATCTGCTCAAAGCCTGACGTATGAGTCACAGCCTGGTTGATCAGGTATCCTTTGGAGGTGTTTGTCAAGTTCTCTCTTGAACACTGTAAGGAGTCGGCCAGTTATGCCCTTTAAGTAACGAAAAACAAGGGCGAAAGAAACTCTGCCCATTTGTTTCCGCCTCCGCCGGGGATCGATCCCGGAACCTCAGGACTACAAAACCCGAGCGCTCTCCACTCAGCTGTCAAACCCCTAACTACTTAATCTTGGTAGAAGTACTCTTCTTGCTTCTCTGAGTACCCTCTCATGTTCTCTTTAAAATTATCAACATGAGCATCTAGGATAGGGATTTTAAGGGATACCCCGCACCCCGTACTGCTGTAGTTCTTCACCAGAGTCTCAACCGGCTTCACGAAGCTTGTGGCCTTGTGATTGCCCAGGAAGCCCCAAGCCACTGCGACCAAACTGTTCAAAGTTGTTTTCTCCTTCCTAGTGAGCTTGTCGGGGAATTTCTTGCACTTCAGGTTCTCTTTTATCTGCGGTCCGACAAAGACGCCCGCTTAGACCCTTGGCTACCGACAGCTTAGGAAAAAAAATCTTGAAGGTACTTGAAGACTGCAGACTCCTTATCTAGAGCTGTGACAAACTGCTTCACGAGGCCCATTTTGACGAGCAGTGGTGGTTACCAACTCCCTCTGGGGGTCCACCAGTGGCTCTCACGTTGACGTTCTCTCTCCCCCAATGAGAACTGGGTCCTCTGTGGCCAGTCCCGCCTGCTGAAGTACACCTTGATGTCCCTGCTGTCTGACTGACAAAGCTAGCAGGGAAACTTGGCCCAGTTAGCTGCCTTGGAGAGGAAGTCTCTGACGAAGTCTCTGACGAAGTCTCTGACGATGTCTCTGACGAAGTTTCTGACGAAGTCTCTGACGAAGTCTCTGACGAAGTTTCTGACGAAGTCTCTGACGAAGTCTCTGACGAAGTTTCTGACGAAGTCTCTGACGAAGTCTCTGACGAAGTCTCTGACGAAGTCTCTGACGATCTCCTTGCCATACTCACCACACACACTACTGGATGCCTTACTTCAAGACCTCCAGGAGTCACGGAAGCTAAGTTTGTGGGGGGAGTAATATAGCTTTTTTTATATACTTTGGAGGCATAAGTAATTATAAATTTCTACTACCCAGGATCAAATAAAAATCGTTTTGCTGTGTACTTCCTGTTATCGGGGACAGGTCTATTGGGGGTAGGACAGCTGTTGATGACGACCTCTTCCCAGGAGGCAACACACAGTAGTTGGCACAGTGCCACACGAGCCATACATAACAGTGTCACACGAACCATACATAACAGTGTCACACGAACCATACATAACAGTGCCACACAAGCCATAAGAGTGCCACACGGGCCATACATAACAGTGTCACACGAACCATACATAACAGTGCCACACAAGCCATAAGAGTGCCACACGGGCCATACATAACAGTGTCACACGAACCATACATAACAGTGCCACACAAGCCATAAGAGTGCCACACGGGCCATACATAACAGTGCCACACAAGCCATAAGAGTGCCACACGAACCATACATAACAGTGCCACACAAGCCATAAGAGTGCCACACGGGCCATACATAACAGTGCCACACGAGCAAAACAAGAGGAAGCTAACTTCAATTTAGGGGCGGGCGGGGGCGGACACCCCCTCCAAAGGCTTGGAGGTTTACTGCTCGCTTTTATTCCTTTCTGGTTATGGTAATTTGAACTCTGGGGCGCGCAGGCTTCCTCTGTCCCGTGCCTCCCTCCCCTCTAGTTTTAAGTCTTCTCTCTCTCTCTCCCTCCCTCCCTCCTCTCTCTCTCTCTCTCTCTCTCTCTCTCTCTCTCTCTCTCTCTCTACCCAGGCCTACCTTGTGGGTTTAAGAGCTGACTTAAGACATGACCAATAATCTAGCGAAATTCATTTTGGCGTTCGTCCTGTTGCTCTAAGCACTTTACTCTTGTTGATAATCGCTGTGAGCAATAGGCCATATTGCCTTGCTATTACTGCACACAGAGGTGGCCCAAGAAGAGTAATTTCGGACACGGTGTTGGAGTGTCAAGTGTCACCTTTATATTCCTCTTAATTTCCCACCCAAGAAATCTTTCTGACCCAGGAAATTTTTCCGACCCAAGAAGACTATTTTTTTTTTTAGTTCTTCTTACATACAAAGCCTCTACGCATGCCTCTTTTTTCCGACCTATGTCCTAGAGAAAGCTCTACCTAGAGACAATAGGTCAAAGCTCTACCTAGAGACAAGAGGCCAAAGCTCTACCTAGAGACAAGAGGCCAAAGCTCTATCTAGAGACAAGACTCCAATGCTTTACCTAGAGACAAGACTCCAAAGCTCTACCTAGAGACAAGAGGCCAAAGCTCTATCTAGAGACAAGACTCCAATGCTTTACCTAGAGACAAGACTCCAAAGCTCTACCTAGAGACAAGAGGCCAAAGCTCTACCTAGAGACAAGACTCCAAAGCTCTACCTAGAGACAAGAGACCAAAGCTCTACCTAGAGACAAGACTCCAAAGCTCTACCTAGAGACAAGACTCCAAAGCTCCACCTAGAGACAAGACTCCAAAGCTCTACCTAGAGACAAGACTCCAAAGCTCTACCTAGAGACAAGAGACCAAAGCTCTACCTAGAGACAAGACTCCAAAGCTCTACCTAGAGACAAGACTCCAAAGCTCCACCTAGAGACAAGACTCCAAAGCTCTACCTAGAGATAAGACTCCAAAGCTCTACCTAGAGACAAGAGACCAAACGCAGTGTATAAATGCATGCCAGACTTGTATTACTTGCACCACCCTCTCCTCCACCGTGCGAAGACTCACCGACAACTTCGAGGTAGCCCTGCCTGAAGATGGGCGGCACAGTGTTGATCTGACAGAGGTAGTAGCCGCGGTCTGTCAGGCTGACGGAGTCTAGGTGTAGAAACCAGGTGCTGTTGTCGCTGTGAGACGCCCGGATGCGGTAGTTGCGGGAGATCATGGTGTTGGAGACGCTTAGCAAAGTCTGCGTGTCCGCTTTCATCCACGCGATCTGCGGCGAGAGATGTGGAGGCTGAGGTGTATGGGGTGACACATGGCTTAGTCCGGGGAGGGATGGTGTGACACGTGGCTTAATCCGGGGAGGGATGGTGGGACACATGGCTTAATCCGGGGAGGGATGGTGTGACACATGGTTTAATCCGGGGAGGGATGGTGTGACACATGGTTTAATCCGGGGAGGGATGGTGAGACACATGGCTTAATCCGGGGAGGGATGGTGAGACACATGGCTTAATCCGGGGAGGGATGGTGGAACACATGGCTTAATCCGGGGAGGGATGGTGAGACACATGGCTTAACCCGGGGAGGGATGGTGGGACACATGGCTTAATCCGGGGAGGGATGGTGTGACACATGGCTTAATCCGGGGAGGGATGGTGAGACACGTGGCTTAATCCGGGGAGGGATGGTGTGACACATGGTTTAATCCGGGGAGGGATGGGGTGACACATGGCTTAATCCGGGGAGGGATGGTGTGACACATGGCTTAATCCGGGGAGGGATGGGGTGACACATGGCTTAATCCGGGGAGGGATGGTGTGACACGTGGCTTAATCCGGGGAGGGATGGTGGGACACATGGCTTAATCCGGGGAGGGATGGTGGGACACATGGCTTAATCCGGGGAGGGATGGTGGGACACATGGCTTAATCCGGGGAGGGATGGTGGGACACATGGCTTAATCCGGGGAGGGATGGGGCTGGTGTAGCTCGTATAAAACGGGTATGAGGATATGACATACAGGATATGTCCCCCCAAAAAATACATTTAAGCCGTTGAAAAGACACTGTATTACAACAGAACCAAACTGTTCATAAGAAGACAGAAGAAATGAGTTTTGATAACTATATAAAAACTATCACGATAACTTATAAGGTCAATCAAAAGGCCATAATACATGTTCACTACGAGAGATGGACATGGATGACAACTTGAGGCGTTGAAGGAGCACGTGGGTGCTTGGATGAACATGTTTAACTCCATATATAGTGCTCTCTATAATGATGGAGAGGTGTCACTGCATTAGACAACCGACAGCTGGTAAAACTGTAGTTTTAACCCAGTAAGCACATTTAAATAAGTACTCACATCCTTACTCGCCACAACTAATACAACATTTACAATTTACAAAACACCTAAACACAAGAACAAATGGCAACAAATAAATCCTGCTGGGCAGCCCCATGTGACAGTATTGGGCAGCGTCACTCATCCTGTGAGTGGACACACCGCCATAGTGACAGTATTGGGCAGCGTCACTCATCCTGTGAGTGGACACACCGCCATAGCAGCATGTACAACACTCCCCAATAGGAAGAAAACCCGCTGGGTTGTTTATCCTGTCACTTGTACCCAGACACAGCTGGGACTTGCTTAACTGTCTCAAGTGAACAGCTTATCAAACAAGAAGATTAACATTTGTCAACCCTTAAGTACATTACAGACAAATGTTTCGAGCTAAAGCTTTCAAATTATTTTTTTAGGTAGGCCTTAGGTAGGTAGGTAACCCAAGCTACCCAAATCCATCCCATGCTACCCAAAGCAATCCAAGGTTACCCAAAGCCACCAAGGTTACCCAAAGCCACCCATAGCCATAGGATTGGTCTTACATATGTGGTATACAAGGCTCTGAATGATTCCTTACACAGGTTCCTGAAGGCAGTTCTGATGTTAGCCAGCCTCGCATACGCCGCTGATGTTATTCTTTTGACGTGGGCTTCAGGAGACAGGTTTGGTGTGATATCAACTCCTAGATCTTTCTCTCTGACCGTTTCGTCAAGGTCTTCATCTCCCATTCCGTGTCCTGTGTCTGGCCTCTTATTTCCTCAAGTAAACCTTACATTTACTAGGGTTGAACTTTGGTAGCCATTTGTGTGTGTGTGTGTGTGTGTGTGTGTGTGTGTGTGTGTGTGTGTGTGTGTGTGTGTGTGTGTGTGTGTGTGTGTGTGTGTGTGTGTGTGTATGTGTAATTACCTAAGTGTGTAATTACCTAAGTGTAGTTACAGGATGAGAGCTACGCTCGTGGTGTCCCGTCTTCCCAGCACTCTTTGTCATATAACGCTTTGAAACTACTGACGGTCTTGGCCTCAGTAGTTTCAAAGCGTTATATGACGTTATATGTGTGTGTGTGTGTGTGTGTATTCACCTAGTTGTACTCACCTAGTTGTGTCTGCAGGATCGAGCATTGACTCTTGGATCCCGCCTTTCGAGCATCGGTTGTTTACAGCAATGATTCCTGTCCCATTTCCCTATCATACCTGGTTTTAAAATTATGAATAGTATTTGCTTCCACAACCTGTTCCTGAAGTGCATTCCATTTTCCCACTACTCTCACGCTAAAAGAAAACTTCCTAACATCTCTGTGACTCATCTGTGTGTGTGTGTGTGTGTGTGTGTGTGTGTGTGTGTGTGTGTGTGTGTGTGTGTGTGTGTGTGTGTGTGTGTGTGTGTGTGTTTGTAGTCATTCATACCCTACTCCCCATCCTAACATGTCGGGACTCCAGACCCACAACCCAGCCCTAGCCTCGCCTCCCTTCATGACCTCTCCCCTGCCTTGCTCACACGTCAGTAAAACCGTTAATACTCAGCCGTAAAAAGCGTGGGCGAATTTCCCTATGGATTTCAGAGACGGCCGGCTCACCCTCCTCCCCTCCCTGTCCTTCCTTCACATTACACTTGGCGTTCGACTCGAGACGCACAGGGCCTCTTGGAGCCTCCTGGCCTCTTGGAGCCTCCTGGCCTCTTGGAGCCTTCTGGCCTCTTGGAGCCTTCTGGCCTCTTGGTGCCTTCTGGCCTCTTGGAGCCTCCTGGCCTCTTGGAGCCTCCTGGCCTCTTGGAGCCTCCTGGCCTCCTGGTGCCTCCTGGCCTCTTGGAGCCTCCTGGCCTCTTGGAGCCTTCTGGTCTCTTGGTGCCTCCTGGCCTCTTGGAGCCTTCTGGCCTCTTGGGGCCTCCTGGCCTCTTGGAGCCTTCTGGCCTCTTGGGGCCTCCTGGCCTCTTGGTGCCTTATGGTCTCTTGGAAGTACCAAGTACCAACTCTCCCGCACTACTGTACAAGCCAAAGACATTACACGAACCAAAAACACCAACCAACGTCTCACCTTAGAACTGAACCAAACCATCGCGAGAATATTTACAAACGCCAAAGACTAAACGCTCTCCCTGCCAGAGTGAAAGAGAACCTGTCAATTCGTGAGTTAAGAGAACCACAGAAACCGCGTGTGAACTTAAAGTGGATAGGCTGAGACACTCTCCCGACATATCCTGAAGCTTTCGAGAAATCAAATGAGAGTATCAGTAGAAACCACCAAAGACCATTCAAGATATATATGGAAGTTCTCTAGAGGGGGAAATATATATAAGGGCACACAGAGATCACACTAACGTGATGCATCAAATGAACAAATCCACAAGGACTGTGACGAGGATTCGAACCTGCGTCCGTTTCAACCCTTTTAACCCTGTCGTAGCTCAGTCAATTAAGGCAGTGTCTGGGATGCTCCCGGACGCAGGTTCGAATCCTCGTCACGGCCCTTGTGGATTTGTTTATATATGAGGGCCCTTAATAGGCAGTTAGAAACCACAACAAAGGCAATGCAAACCCAGCTTACAGCCTTCGGCGGGGGGGGGGGGGGATGTTCTCCTAACTTAAGCAAAGCAACCAAAAATGAAACCAACCTTATAGTTACCGAGGTTCTCTACGGAACACCTGAGAGAACCGTCGCGCCCCACCACCACCGTCTGGTTGGCCACGGACTCTGTGAAGGTGGGAGCCTGTGGAGCCGGTTGAGCACGCTCCCACACCGAGTGCTGCTGCTGTTGCTGCTGCCCCTGCTGTTGGTGATGGCCGGGTGGCTGGCTAGATGTGCCTGTGGGAGTGAAGAAAATAAGAGAGAGTAAGAAACTGTCTTTAGACATTACCTCACAATAACGCGACGGAAAATTGGACATCCAGTCAACATGTCTGAAACTAAAGGAAATGGCGTTTCGGGCCATCCTGTACAATCAACATTGATTTGATTGTACACACACACACACGAAGGTTCATTGGACCTGAACAATGGTCCACAAGAGTCCGAAACATCATCATTTTCTTGATTTTCGGATGTGTGGTTTCCTTGTCATACACCATCATGCTAAAAAAACATATATATGTATATAAAACAAAGATCCAAATTGTCACTAACAAGAAGGCCACTGAAGTCAAGGTGACGACAAAGCGGGTTTACACGAAGTCACCAGACAACTGCTCGCAGCACCAGGTGTGCCAACCTCAGCCTGCCTGACAATTACAGACAGGATAAGGGTGACCCCTCCCAGCCTCACCTGTTACACCTGCCTTCTGCTATTGTCCACCAGGAAAGGGCACACACAGGTGCCCTCCTACACGCACACACACACACACACACACACACACACACACACACACACACACACACACACACACACACACACACGAAATAGATGGCGGGTGAGATACCTTGATCAGTGATACCTGATACCTGAGTGATACCTATCTGATACCTGATACCTCTGGGGTATCACAGACTCTCATATGTCTAGCCATACATATGTGCAGGTAATTCAGTCTGTTTCCCCCTCACACGTGTGATTAGTTGGATTAGAGAGAGAAAAAAGAGGAACATAAAATAGTAGAGAAGAAGAAAAGGGAGACAAGGAAAATGAGGCGACAAAAAAAGGAGGAAGTGAGAAAGGAAGTGATGAGATGAGGCAGATGGAAGAGGACAGAGGTCGTAGGGTTAAGAGAAGATGGTTGATGGGAAGGGGATTGTGATGGGAAAGGTGACGCTAAATAGAAACGTGAGCATGAGAGGGGGATGAAGGGAAGGATGAAGATGAAAGAGAATGGAAGTAATCTATTAGGTTACATTCATAACAGAAATATAAGAGGAACAGAGAGAGGGAAGGGGGAGGGGCAAGTACAAGTGACAGGTTGTACAAGGAGAGGCGAGAAAATGAGGAAGCGAGCGATTGGTAAATTAGAGACAAACACGAAGAGAAACATAAAACAAAAAAAAACAGTGTAAATAAGAAACACAAATCCAGAAAGA